GGTGATTTTTCAAAAATTCATTTTAAAAAAAGTACTAACTAGCAAATGTTTTTTATTAGCTCGCAATTTTCTTCAAAACTACTTCAATGAGGAAAAAAATAAAAATTTGGAATATCTATACATGAGGGGCTAATTGATCGGATCTCAATTTACCTCAATTTATCCTCGACACTGGAGCGGAAGTAGCGCCGCGTAGTGCGTCAACTACGAAATATAAGGAGTTGTGACGTCATTATTCCCTCCCCGCACAAATTTTTGATGATTAAAATTTTTTTCATTCATCCGCACACTAGAATACCATCCTTCAATTATATATTTACCTACTCCACCCAGTCATCCTCGTTGAAAACGTGACCACACACGCCAGTGCACTGAGAAAAAAATCTCCCACAAATTAGTGTGCTGTCCCCCAACGCCGGGACATAACATGGGGTCGTCGAAAAATTCATAAGTGGCACCCTAATTTTTGGTGGGACTCCGGCCACTTTTTCGGGGGATTCCCGTAAAAATTAGTGTGCCACATGCGAATTCTCCGATGACTCCCTGTTATGTCCCAGCGTTGGTGAACAGCACACTAATTTTTGGAAGGATTCTCACAAAATTACGATGTATTTTTTTCTCCGTGTGGTCGTTATATTTATGAAATTCCTAATGTAAACGACTGATTACACTCAATCTTCAAGTGAAAAACAGAACACCGTAGCTTTTCTGAGGAATTTTATTGGAATTCCATGAGAATTCTGTTTGTACGTTTTTATTAATGAATCCTCCAAGGGCTACATGTACACATCACACACCTTTCTTCTTACATTCCCAAGCCTATTCTATCTTGAACCTATTCTTCCCCCTCTCCTTCTTATAGAACGCACTCTCGCCTCTCCGCGTTCTTCTTCTCTTCTTTCTTCTTTCATCCCGAAAGAATTCCATTTGTTTTTTTTTATCAATTAAATTCCAATTTTTTTTATTCAATAAAAATAGAAAAAATCTTATGCACAAAGCATGAAAGCTGTCCCTGTTCTCTCCGATTACATAAGAGCGCTCGTTTTATCTTCATGAGGAGTCGCAATATCAAACGATGTGTCTATAACGCTGCGATATCGCGTTTTCTGGCGGAAGTGTCAGGACATTTTTTTCATCCATTTCCATCCTCATTACTGATAACATTTTCTCTCGGGTGGCTCGGAGTGACGTTACGTCTCCTTGGAGGATAGTGTCACGCATGATGTTGTGCACGTGTCATGCACATGCATTTGATATTCCGCATATTAAATTGAAGAATCTCGTGAATCGTAGTTACGCTCGGTGCATCATTACAGAGTGTGTGAGACGCGTATCACATTGTACAACGTTGAGAATAATTTGCATCACTTGTTGGAATTTATTTTCTTACATAATTTTCAGTCTATTTAGGGATGCGAAGTGACGATTTTTTTCCCCCACCAGTTAGTTCATTTCGTCGTTTGATATTTCATGTCAGATCATGTTTAAATTTAAATTAAAACTTTTCAGACAGTTTTTTTTTTATTGACAAATAATTTCAAAACGTTCAAATGATCTTGAATGACGTCACAATTCCGGAGCAAAAGTGGCGCCTCGCGGTGAATCAACTACGAAGTTTAGGGAGTTGTGACGTCATTGCCCCCTCAGAAAAATTGAAAATAAAAAATTTTCTGAGATAGTATGTCTAATGTTCAATGAATACCCAAAATTTCAAATTTTTCGCAATAAAATTGCAGTGGGAAAAAAATTAAACGCAAAGAGAGTGCAAAATCCCATTCTATTTAAATGGGAAAAAGTCAGCCTTCGGGGGGGG